CAACCGACGTGAAACCCTGCCGGTTTGTGTGTGGAGTGAAAGGTGTCCTGAAGTGGAGGTTTGGTTAAAGCTTCTATAAACAGTGTTACGCTATACATACTTTGTTTAAAAATCATAAAATAACAAGAGAAGTTGTAGTACTCGATAGCAAAGCAGAGGCTTAGTCAGATAATGTGTGTTTATTTGTGACTAGGCATCGTAATTGATGCTCCGTTGTCTCAGTATTTGTGATTCAGGCAGTAAATGTAAGGCTGTAACCTGATATATGGGAAATTGGAGTTTAATTTTTTCTTTGAGAGTGTAGCATTTACTATTTGTATAGTGCTAATTTTTTCTCTTGGACCCTTCAGGGATATTGTCACAGGAATGTCACTTTGAGAAGTTCCACAGATTTGGAAGGTCTTATATTGCAGCTTCATATGTGAAGTTTTTGGAATCTGCCGGTGCCCGAGTTGTGCCTATAAGGTAGATTTTTCTATTATTACAAGTGGTAATAATTGTTTAATGTAAGGTTATCCTCTCAGAGGCACAGAAAGCAGTTTTGCTGCTTTTTGGAGTGTTTAGAGAGCTCAAAGACTATTTGAAGATGCCACAATTTGCAGTGTGGTTTAGAAATCAGAATAAAAACAGACTGGAATATGTAACTTTTAATATTTCTTCTTATGACAATAACCTTTCTTTGAAAATTATTTTTACCTGTAAAATTACTCTCCATAATTTGCATCTGTGGTTTTTGAAATTAGCTATATTCAGTGTAATGTGTAGTGCCCCACAAATGCACATAGATATCTAGATAGATATGCACAGACTATCTTTTGTCACATTCTGTAGTCCTAGAATTCAAGTAGTGGAGAAAGTATATGCATTTCAATGCATTTACTACTTTAGCTATAAAGTAGTAAATGCATTGAAATCAAATGTTAAAATTATAATTGTCAGAAGTTAAAAACGATACTAATGCAGGTGCAGAAAATCACAATTGGATGTATCTACACAGTACAATAAGAGCACCAGTTAAGTGTCTGAATTAGAAGCCAGCGTTCCTCAGGAGCTTTCAGAATGGTTGCTGAGCAGAAGCTTCGTTGATGAATGGAGGCTTCTAATTCTGACAACTAAGTTAGATGCAGCAAAGCTGGGTGCTTTGAATATATTCAGTGTATCAGCTCTGCATGAGGGTAGCCATCATACTGGTTTGTTGATGTTTTGCTGATACTGAGGTCTTTCTCATCTTTCTACCTTTCAACTATATCTTTGCTGAAGAATGGGTGTGACCCACTGTTTGCAGCTCTGCCCTTCTTGGAGTCAATTGGAAACCGGAGTTGCCGGTCTGCAGGCAGGAAATAATAACCGTGCCATTCATGTAAATGTTAAATTTATTGAGTGTCTGCAAAGGGGTCTTGGAGTACCTAATCCTGTACTATACCTGAGAGGGTTCTATTCTCCATCCTGTGGAATCTCAGTCTCTACTGAGCTGTTTCAGGTGAAATGTTTCGTTTGATTTGGGGCTGTTTTATTCTGTTTAAAGCATGCTTTCTGCATGTTTTCTGTGTCCTGTGTTTCTGTTCAATAATGATGATAGATATTTCTGTCATTAAATACGTATATTTCAAATGTGTTCTGTAACTATTTTCTTGGTGTTTCAGATTAAATCTTTCAGATGAAGAATATGATAAAATATTCCACTCTATTAATGGGTAAGTTTTGGGCACTGACATCCTGTTGAAAGACGTGACAGTTTTGGTTTTGAGGTCAGCCATATTCTCAAGAATGCTGCCTTTCTATTCTCTTAAGAAACTCTGAGCGCTGCAGACATGTAAATATGTTCTAAGAGAGTCCACAATTTCATCCGATGTTGGTCTGCTGCCTTTCCTTCCTTGAGGAGCACATGGCAGATAATCTGCAACAGTGCCATGGCTCATTTTAGCATTCTCCTGTGCTTGTCTGCATGCAGACAAGTGGAATTATAGTGGTTAACAGTTTTGCAAGTGAAACAGCTCACTTCCTCTTTGTTACTCTTTCCTTTTCCTCATTTCAGTGATCACCTTAATTTTGATATTTAATACCACTTGCTGGGTGTTTCACCCCCATTCCTATCCTTTGTTCCCTCTTCCAGTCCTCCCCATATTTCCTCTATCACAAAAGTTTCTGATTTCTAGTCTCTTCTACCCTTTTCTCGTTGGGTGCTTTCTCCCTTGCTGCTTGAAGGCCCGTCTTGCCTGTCGTGATTCTGTGGCTTAGATCTTTGTTAGACAAACATTCTAACTTTTCAGCTGACCTGTGGCAACTGTCTGCCCATGTATTCTTCCTACATTTTAAATGTGGGATAATGTGACCTGATTTAACACATTTTAATTGTGGATGAAGCAAAGTCAAAGCCTTTTATGTTTGTCTTGTGCTTAAAGCGCACTTCAGAAGAGTTAAATCAGCTGATGCTACACTTCACAGGCTTGATTGTATGTGATTGGAATACTTGTAGTCATGAGATGAGCATCTTAAACCATTAATATTTTTGTTAAGCTTATGCATATACTAGAATGTTAACCAACACGTGTAGAACTTGCAGATTTAGACCTGTGGCTCTCTGGGTAGAGCATTGTCCTCTTCTGTTCCACAGCATGCCCTGTACACCACACCAAGATGTGGGTCTATACAGTCTTGCGGTATAAGCAAGTATAAGACAGTGATGCTTTCTCCCCTGTGGCTCCTCATGTTTTCAGACAAAATGAATCATTTCATCCCTTTCTCATGGCTGCTAGCCTCTCTTTCATTGCCAGAAGGACTTTCACCGATGGGGTCTCCTGTTCTTACTACCTCACCTCACTTGTTAGATGAGTAGATCCAGTTCCCTTATCCTTCTGTCTTTGCAGTGACTGGCAGTTGGGTTTGTGCTATGTAGGTGGGTGAGGATGGTCTATATTCCGCTTGTTGCTCTCCACTGTCAGCTAATAGCTTCCACAGTATAGATGTGTGTAAATAACAAATAAGATCTCTGGAGGGAGGGACTTTCCATTCTGTGGAAACTTGGAATAAGAAAGAGATATATTGATCTTTCATGTTCTAAGAGCTTAGCTCCAGGTTCTTTGCAGTTGGAACTTATTTATTATTAAATGCCACCTTCTTAAAATCATGACATTTACTGTAGCAGAGACAGAATTTTATGAATGTAGCAATGTACTCCTGAGATAGCCTTCTAAATTCACAGTGAACGTCATCAGCTCTAACCAGGTAGAGATACTGGAATATAGGTAGTTCAATCTGCTTATGACAATGTCAAGCTATTATCATTGCTACTTAATGGGTTACTTCCTTTTTGCATTAGCAGAAATGACAATTGTTTTTCCTAATTAGTATTGGCCAGTTTTTGGTTTGAACGAAAGGAACAGGTGAAGTGAATTTTCCACCACTTCCACGGAAGGATCATGTTATTTGTCTAACTAGATCTCTGTAGAAATCTGCAATCTGCCCTGTTTTGAAAATACCTTCAGCTATATTCATTTTTTGTATTGGCACTGGAGAGTAATCTGATTTATATTTTTGTGACTACTACTCTACTTTTCCGCCAATACTTGGTGGCTTTTGTGTGATGCTGTGCGTCATTCACCTTAAAATAAACCTGGTCACGAGGTTTTTAATTTTTAAAACATTCAGATTTTTAAATGCACACTCGCTCTGCAAAGGCTTGGGATCATTTGAGATGTTAGTTGTTTCTAGCTGCTTGTTAGTACCTCATTGATGCAGGTTGCCATTTGCAGAGCACAGAAATGTAAACGAAATCCTTCAGCCGTTTTGGTAAAAAAATCAGTAACTGATGGATGTGGCTTGAGTGATCTAGGTGGGGTTCTGCTGCAGTGGGTTAGGGAGTGCTCTCACATTGAGTTCTGTCAATTCTGGGGGTACTGTTCCAGTTACAGCCAGAAGCAGCTTCCTTTATTTCATGTTACTGTCTCTGATGGTACTTGATTACTTTCCACATCATCACATGTACACGTGAAACCCTCTGCTAGACTATATTGAGTCTTTTGTGGTGTTTGGGTTTGGGGAGCCACATAGAGAATTGCCATTGCTGCTTATTTTCTTTTTGTGGTGGGAAAAGATTGTGCTCTATTTCTTTGAAATTGTTTCTGAGATTGCTTTGTCATCTTAATCTATATTAGATCCAGTGTGACCAAAAGTTATGGCCAAATGTACTTTTTTTCCCCCCTTTCTGATCTGTGTTGTCTGCAAGAAAAAGGTCACTCTGCCAGGGCACAATTCTTCTGTACTGAAATTGAGCGGGATGAATTAAGATTGGGGCTGGGATTTTAAAGTGGTAGGGAGAGCCAGTAAGAGTTGGGACAGGATTTGAAGGAGTCATGGTAGGCAACCCTTTTGTATACCAGCTGAAATTTTTGCTTTGTGTGTTTTTTGTTTACTCTCCTCTTCCTTACATTGCACTAGGCTCGGTCACTACTTTCTGATAATAACCATTCTTCAGTAGAACACTAAGATTTAGGATATGATTCAGTTAAAGACTTAGACACCTAAACTAGCTGTCTGCATGTGTGCTAGCTATCTAAACTCATGTAATTAATTGAGAGTAGTCAGTACAGCCAGTGGAGCCTGCGGGGCTGTTCAACCTACTGACCAGTTAGGTGTGTGCTCTAGAAAACATATTCAAATCTCCATTGACTTTCTGACTTGATCCCTGCTGTCCTTAATGGAAACTTAGATGCTTATCTATAGATTTCTGAAACGTAGGTGTCTTAACCTAGACCTGAATTCTACCCTTAAAACCGCTATCAGACCTTTCTCTGTGTACTTTGTCCAGGTTTTAGTTTGATCACCATTGCTAATCAGATTCTTGGATGTTGCCTTTCAGGGTACTTTTTCCAGGAGGTGGTGTGGATCTGAAGACTTCAGAATATTCCAGGGTTGCTAAGATATTTTACCACAAGGCATTAGAGGTAATTACTAAGGAACAGTCTGTTCTTGTTATTGTCACTGTTCAAAGATCAAAATGACAGGGAGGCTCGTGTTTTCATAGTTTTCCATTGGCATCCAGTGTATTAACTGTAAACCTAATAATAAGTAACTCGTTGCTGGCTTCTGCATTAAAAAAATCATTTAATAGCTTAAGATGCAAACTTCAGACACCCTCTCCTGTTATATGTTGTGTCATGGTCTTAAACTCCCAAGTTCTCTGGGTGAGAACAGTTATCATTTATTCATTGTACCTGGGGCTTTATGGTTGTGTGGAACTAGCACAAAAGTAACAATAATGCCTTCCAAAAGTGCAAGTATCCATTGACATTAAATGTTGAAGGAAGATATACATAAAAGTAATCATTCATAGACGTCTTATGAGTAAAGTTTAGACTCGAAAAGAATTCTAGAGAGACTCTCTGATAAACCAGTTGACAGTAATACAACATTAAGGCCTCCCTTCACATATATGTTACAGCTAGTGAAACACCTTTACTCTCACTTATCTATAAGTAGATTTAAATATGTATTTGGAGGTGCAGGTGAGGGATCTACATTAGCATATTATACTGTTTTACCTATTTCTTTGCATTAAAAATCTGCTGTATTTACAGTTACTAAAGTAAACGCTAGCTTAATTTATATTAAAAAAAGTGGGAAGAACACTTGAAAGGTTATATTAGTTATTTTTAAAACATTTATGTGATCATTTGCTTTATTAAGAATAGATAGAATTTTCTGGAAAAGCTGTTTCTTTCAAAGAACATCAGGAACGCTCTGAATCCTTAATGAAGCTTTTGTTCTCTTAGAGCATAAGAAGTGGGGTTTTTTTCAGATAGTAATCAACATATTTTGAAGTAAAATTTGCATTGTGGAAAGGCATGGAGATTCATTGAGCTTTATACACAATCCCTATGATTTGTTAGGGATCTTCTGTATTCAAACTGAATAAAAAATGTAAATTTTCTTCCTTTTTTCCTCTTTACTAGCTTTATTTTATTTTCAGCTAACATTGATTAAAATTGTCACAGAAGTCATACTTTGGAAAACTTTGCCCAGTTCTAGAGCCAGTTATGAGTAGTGCTTAAACTGTTACCATGGTACAAGAGTTCACTGGCAGTGAGGAATTCCTCTTCTACCTTTGCTGCCGACTTTCCAACAGGAGGCAACGAGAGCGCAGGCAGCGGCATTCACAGGATCAGTCAGCTGCTGCAATTCAGTAATTAAGTTTCCTACTCTTCAATCCCCAGAGGATCACTGTTGTTATTTTGTTTCACTGTTTTCATTCGTGGTGATTAATAGTCTCTCACCTTAAACCTAAGTCTCACGAAGACCACCTCGCTTTTATGTGAGACAGTTAATCTCATTTGTCTCTTTGAAACTGCTCAGTGTGTGAAGTGCAGCCTGTGTCTTGGTTTTCAGTACTGGGACATGTATTTCTTGTGGTTTGCAGTACTGTTATGAAATTCTTTTGACATTTCACAATCATTGACTGAATTGCGTGTGTCATAATTTTATGATCAGAGAGGCAGGTTTATTAGGTGGCATGTGTGCTTCAGGTGAGTGAAAGGCAGAAAATAATTTTCAATTCATCATAGTTAACCCTTACTAATAAGTCGGAGTTTTTTCTGTGCTATTCACGATGATTGTGTGTTTTGATTTTCATCTTTTAAGACTTAATTAGTGCTATAAAGTATTGTTAGTTTTACTAATGTAAGCTACAATATTCAAGAGTATATTAGCAGATACAGAATTGACTGAATTTTATGTGGTTTTTTTTTAAATTTATGAGGGCTTGTTTTCTCTTAATTTTCAAATATTCTCAATGAGAAATGATTTGGTCTGTCTCTGCTTTAATATGAATAGAGGATATGAAATTCTAATCCCCATCCAAGTCAACAGAATTTTACTAGCTAAGCAAAAACCTCAATGAAATACTGTTTTCCAGCTTTTAAATTAGTTTTTAAAATGTGATGTCTTGGATGTTGTTTAACATATGCTTAGTCTCCAGACTAATGGTTATTAAAAAGCGGGAGGGAGGAGAGGGGGCGCAAAATGTTTATGGTTCGGTTGTAATTGTTCTTAAACTGTAGTCTGTTTTTCATCTTTAGTGGTTTTATTATATTTATTTATATTCATTACATGAAAGACAGTGGAGTTGCAAGTCCTGTGTCTCTAGGCATGCGTGACAGGTGGTCATGAAGACTCTGCAGTGCTGTTAGCCTTCTTTCTGTAAATCTTCCATGTTTAGCTCTGAGAAGAAGTAGTTATATGGACTTTTTTTAACCATACTCTCAGTAATCCAGTAGAGTAACATTTTTATTCTAAGCCTGTAATTTCAGCTTTCTCAAAAATGGCTTTTGAACAGCAGCTCTTTGGGGGGGTGGGGGGTGATGTGGTGTGGTATGCATAACTTAAGAATGTTTAGAAACATGTTAAGAAAGACCACTCAGATTTCACAAAAACAGGACTTCTGAAACATCCCAGTCTCTAACATTTGCTTGCTATCAGGAATAAACCATACAAAAATGCAAGTTTTCACTGTGTGTATGTACGTACTGTGCTTACTTCAATGACAGGTAGCTAGTTGTGTTCTCTTTTTGCTTTCCATTTCTCCTTTTTGCTTTCTTCTCTTGTTTTTGCACTTACCTGCCAACTTTTATTCTTTTGAAAATGATTGTCACTTTTTTTATGTTGCTTAACTCACAATTTATCTTTCTGGAACACAAGTCCAAACCTCTTAGTTAAACAAACATATAGGATTATAGGATTTATATGTTCTTAATATAGATGGTAGGCACAGGCATATGGACATTGCAAAGGGCCCTTGCTATGTGGTCATAATACGCTTCATATAAAAGTATGAATTGTGATGAATAGGCTTTCCCTCAAAATGGTGACAGATTGGTTTGTGTCCCTTCTTATGATTGCCTTTTTTATAGAAATGTTGCCATTTTGTGCTTTCTGTTTAGGTTGCTCTCAACATTACTTATTTGTAGAATGGAACAGAAAAATTTATATCAACGTTAAGCTCAGTGTACTGCTTCAACGGACATGTGTATATTCCCTGGCCTTTGTATTTCAAGGAGAAAAACTAAAGGAGTCTGTGTTTATTTCAGTTGTAATTGAACTGTTACAATTCCTCTGGTAGCAATTTGTACTGCTGTAGTAGTTTTACTTCTCACCTACACAAGAGAAAGCGAAAAGAGTAGGAAGTTCTCTTCAGTCTTTTTTTCTGTAAATCTCCAGTGCTTTTTCCTTATGTTGTTGCTTTTTATTTTGAAGGCTAACGATAAAGGAGATTATTTCCCAGTATGGGGAACATGTCTTGGACATGAAGAGCTTACGTATCTCACAAGTGGTGAAGTTTTACTTGTTAATACCAAGACAGATGGTTTTGCACTCCCTCTGAACTTTACCTCAGGTGAAAAATCATTACATCTCATGTCTGAGTTTTGCTGAAAGGTGCTGTGTTTTGTTTGTGATAAATATGCAGGGGTAAATGTTCGGGAGGTTTCTGATGGTTATGTTGTTAAATTCTTTCTTATGAAGTTGCCATGACTTTTTATAAAGTCAGTGCAACTCTATCACTTCTAAAGCAGAGATGTGAGCATGAGCTATTTGAAACCAACACCAGTCAGCAAAAAGCACTGTTGTGGCTCTTTAAGTCATTTGGCAGTTTGGACCTACAAAATTAGTGTGGCTTTAGGTCCCTTTTTGTTACCAAGCAGAACAAAATTCATGGGTCCAAAAACCTATCAAACTCGGATAGCAGGTGATCTAAAACTTTTCAAATTGCATTCTTCCTAATGATGAATATTAATGTTGCTACCCCACTTGTATTAAAATCAGAGAGATCCCTTAAGCTAGAGCTGTGTCACTCAGCAACACTGGTAAAATGTGGCCTCTGGTGATACTTTATCCTTTAATTTGTGAGTAATCTGTCTGCGGACCATGCATCATCATTCACAGGTTCTGTCATTTGTGCTCATTGTGAATGGAAAGGTCACTGAAATGAGTGACAAAGAATAATGCTTATTTTACTGACAACTTAGGTAGCAAAATTGGGTCCTCTCTGGGTCAAGACTGGAGGACAGTGGTAACACCATACTGGAAACCTCTTGTAGTTATTTCATTAATTTTCCTTGCAGCGTGTTCTGAAATCATAAAGTTATACTATAGAGAACAGTTTAATGCAGTATTTTATTAAATTTGCTTCCTGTTCAGTATTAGCCCATCTGTTAGCAGCTCGGGTAATGAATGATAACCTTTTTTCATTTTTCTTTGTAATAGCTGCAAAAGACAGTAGATTATTCAAGAATTTCCCTGATGATGTATTGCATGCATTTGCTACCGAGCCATTGACATCAAACTTTCATATGTGGAGCCTCTCCATGGAGGTATTTGATCATTTTATTTCCTGAACACAAAACGCATTTGATCTGTTAAAACTAGAAATAAATGAGCAAATAACACATCTTTTTTTTTTTTTCCCCCTCCTTATCACAGAATTTCACAAAAAATGAAAAGCTTCGTAATTTCTATAATGTTCTGACCACTAACACCGTTAATGAAGTGGAGTTTATATCTACCATGGAAGGTAGGGAAATTAATTTCCTTTGTAGTCTGTGACTGTAACAAACTAGTTCTTTAGAGGTGTCGTGGCATTGATGTTAATTTGCACTGCAAGCTTGCTGTTAGAATAGCAGGGTGAGCATCAGCCCTGTTGGTGCTCTGGCTTTGAGGAACCTACTCTGCTTGCAGGGATATTTTATCTTTTGAGTACGTATCTGAGAGTCTAATTACTTACTTCTCTCACCCGCTGTTCCTCTTCCAGATATGCTGTTAGACTTCAGCACTGGAATATTCAAGTGCTGTGATGTGAAGCGTACAGCACTCGTCCTGTAGTAGTTTAAAGTCTCCACAGTGCGATGTGCCTCTGTTGCACCTTGTTTTCTGTCTGTCTGCTTATGCTTGCATTCCTGTGATGCTCTGTATGCTTTTGCTGTACAAGAAGAACAATTCAGAGTACTCGGGTAACAGCAACATCCCTCATTACTTTAGCAGCAATACTGGTAATTACCTTCCTCCAAAAGCCTTTTTCGTTACTTCTCTTGTGTTGCGTATGTTTTGCACCACGTTTGTTCACCTCAAGAAACAAGTTAGCTCTTTAGGGAGTGGTTTATCTTGATCAGTGCACTATTAGCAGCTCTATGGTAAGGCTCAGCTGTTGGCCCATGGGATTCTTCTGTATGGCATGCTGGCTGTCCTCCAGAAGAGAAGAATAGCAGTTTGATCAGAAAACCTGATTAGGCTAATGACAGGCATCTCCTGTGCCTGCAAGCGGTTTATCACAGAGCAATCATCAGCTGCTATTCTCTGTAAGAGAGTTAAAGACTGGCTTTCCCCTGCCTGTCTCATGCCTGGCACAGAGCAGAAGAGAGCTGCCCCTGGATTGACTGGACCTTCAAGGAGATCCTAAGACTTGGATCTGTCCCATAGAACTGCCAGGGATATCCTGTGTGGCTGTGAATATTGTGTGTTGCGTGATGCTGGCAGTAGATGGGAAGTTTTGAGACCGATGCACTTGTAACACTATTTTTTTACTCTCTGTGTGTATATATATATATAAAAATTCTGAAATGAATACTCAAAAAAGTGATGTACAGAAATCTTCTTGCATGGAATGAGACCCTTCTTTTACAATATCCATTTTTTTCCTTCAGTCCTACTGTGACTTTAACAGAGTTTCAACTTGCTGTTTAAGCTTTTGTGAAACTGTTGATAGGTGAGGTATTTTTGTAGCTTATCCTCTAAGTTTCTTTTGCAGTAAGACTAAGCATACAATTCTTAAGGCATAGACCTTGCTTACGTGCTTTGTGTTTGTTGCAGCATACAAATATCCAATTTATGGCGTCCAGTGGCATCCAGAGAAAAATCCTTTTGAGTGGAAGAATTCACCTGGCATTCCACATTCCCCATCAGCTGTAAGAGCATCATATTATATAGCTGACTTCTTCATTAATGAAGGTAAAAAGTTTATTATCTATAAATGTCATTTTTTAGAGTAAAGCATTAGTGAAAATTTTTGAAGACGTCAGACTTCTTTTTCGGCTGTCAAAGTTCAGTACCTCTTACTGCTTTCTGAGAAGATTACTCTGCAAGCTTTATAGGCTTACAAAAAACAAGGGATACTAGAAATAGAATGGCTTAGTAAAACTGACATCAAAAGGCCAGGCATTCCACAAAGTCTTCTCGGTAGACTGACTCAAAATTGTTGGTGCTGTGACTTTCTACCTTTTCGAATGATCACTGTAACATTTTAGCTTCCCTTGCACAAAGACCATGAAATGAAAAAAATACTCAATTCATAATTCCAGAGGTTTCTTCACTTCCAAACTGAGCTGCAGTCATTCAATGTATTCTCAGTTTTGCTTGCAAAATATATGCACCAAGATTATAAATACTGCTTAGGCAGTATATAGATATGTCAGAGGGGTGCAATATAGTTATAGACAGCACAAGAAGCTTTTGAATTTTATAGAGTTTCTAATTTGTTTATACCCTAAGAAGCTGAAAGTAACTAATTTGTAAAATATTGATAACTTATGACACTTGTGGTCTATTTGCTATAAATAAGCAGGATATAAATACAGGAATATTTGAAGGGATCAAACTTACTTTATTCCTTAATTTATACTTACTAAACCATTCTGCTGAAATACTGTTTTCATATTATAAATTGACTGTTTATGAAATTGTCTTAACTGATCGATTGGAACTAGGAAGAACATAATCAATAACCTAATTGAGTTTGGTCTCTAGATTTGTTCTCTAATCAAGAGAGTCACCTAACTGGAGAAAGCAGACAGTGATTTAAAGAAATGCAACTTGTGCTGACCTGGTCAGTGAGAGTCTAGAAATAAAGGTGGTGCTTTGTACAAGTTCAAGACTCTTTTTTGCATAATGTAGTCCTACTCCCCTTTGCCAAAAGGTTACAAAATCATGTAAAATTCCTTGTCAGTATCTGTAAGCTTCCTGGATTTTAAGACTTTTGATAGGGTACTTAAGGGAGACTAAGACAAAAATAAAGGGGAAAATAGGAGGAAGTACAGTATGAGTCTGCTTATTCTTTTGTAGTCTAATACTAGAATGCAGCACGTATTCTAGATTTGTTTGCTACGTTCTCTAGTACCTGTCTGCACACTGCATTACAGGCAGAAGTAAGCTTGCCGTTAACCAAGTAAATGTGGCAAAATAAGTGCCAACTCTGCTTGTAAATCTGGTTGAGACATGGTGCATGTGAGTTCTTTTATATATGTATACACATGTAATGAGCTCGTGCGTAGTACCACACAGATGTGTCACTAACTTTTGGATCTGTTGACCTTCAATTCTAGTAGAGCAAACTTGCGCCAGCCAGCTGTATGCGTCTACCCCCCATCTCATATACCAAATCACGAGTTATTCTTCATTACCTCCCCAATCTGTGTACAGCTGCTCCTACCGAGTACTTCATATCATAACATTGCAATGAGTAATTGATGTTTTTAGCTAATGTGAGGCAGAATGTCTTCCTTGACTTCGAAAATAAACCACGGGGTGAAAAACGCCAACTGTTTTCAGCTGGCAAAAATACACTCTATTTAATAACTAAACCATTCTGTTGAAATACCATTTTCCTATCCATCCATCGTTGATTTTAACCTGTGTAGAGTTGCCATCATGATAAACCAGAAGAGGATTCAGTTTTTTTGTCCTCACCAGCATGGTCCGTGCTAAAATTGCAGCTTGCAACAGGCTGGTACTCAGATACGTTTCTTTCAGTATTACAAGTACTGGTATCTCTGGTAGATACTGCCAGTGTCTCATGGGTAAATATTTCTGTACAGTCTTGGCTTTAAATTAATAATTAAATTTCTCCCTCCCCAGTAATAAAATATACTGTAACCACTTTCTGAAGATATATTTTCACAGTTCTGCACATACAAGTTATTCTAATTCCATTTGCTGTTATGCTACAACTTACTTTGCCAAGAAAGATACTGTCAGGGAGGATAACAGTAAACTGATCTGTACTTTTATAATGTTTTACAGCCCGGAAGAGCCTGCACCATTTCCCCAGTGAAGATGAGGAAACAAAAGAATTGATTTATAATTATACTCCAGTTTATACAGGAACATTTTCTTCATTTCAGCAAATCTATTTTTTTGATTGAGTATTGTGTCAAAGGTGCCGTGTTGCTATTTATAAATGAAATTATTTGCCAGCATTGTGTAATTAAGCTAAGATAGTGCACTGCATGTGACAGAAAGCCAGAACAGTCCTTTCCCTTTACAATGATTTATCCTGTGTTTTTTCTGTTGGACTGTTGGACCATTAATATAAAAAATTACATTAGATATAATAATTGTCTTGGATCACACTTTAAGGCAAGCAACAGAAAAATACATTTTTCTTCCAGGGAAGAGGTCTTGATTATGCTTATAAACTTAGAAGTAATCATGTTTAGTACAAGGAAACTCTATTCATATATTTTAAAATGAGAGTTATCTTTGTAAAACATTGTGCACTGTGATAGCACTAGAGGCTTAGATATGTTGCTTAGTAAAATCCTATCCTTTCCAAATGATTTAACAAATGAGACTCTTGGGTTTGTCATAAATATGTATGTAACCAAGTTCTTGACAGGGACTATTTTGCCATTTGAAAAATTGACCAAAATAGTAAGGAGGCATGATAGCAAGAGACATTTTTGCCTAAAAAGCACATGTTATATCCCATTTGTGAAACTGTTTCTCTTGTACATTCAGCATTGTTTGGAGTGCTTATACCTTGTAAGGCCTCCATAAATATGAGGGTGCTGTGTACACTACGCATTGCAAATATCAAGGAAAATAAGTAATTTTGGAGGGCATAGAGAAGTGCTGATTCCACTTTCTGTTCTTTTCAAATTCAGTTTTATGTCCGTGAAGAATTTGTCTGAGAGTAACTGGAGTCAGCAGACAGATACGAGATGCAGATGTCTGTTTCTTTGTATTTAAAAGAATGTAAACCTAATTTTTTTCTTTACATAGTCTGACTTTTCCTGTAGCTACTGGATAGAATTCTCACTTTGAGTCAAGAGGTAGTTTGCCATTAACTTAGTAAAGACAGTAGTTTCTGGCTGTCTTGTTGAATTGTTTAATGCAACTAGAATTCAAACAGCAGATGAATGTATATGAGAAACCTATTAATATTGACATAATGTGATAATAGTAGTTGCATTCAATACACTGTGATACCTTTTTTCATTTTCTTTGCTTTGCTCCACACTTAGTGAAAATTTTGTTCAGTGGTTTTGTGTGTTGTCCGAAAAGGAACTAAGACAATCAAATACAGCTCTCCTCTATTGCACAGCTTCCAAACTCTGTTAGCATCAATAGGGATTTGGAGTTTTTGAAGAATTCAGGTTTATACCTCAGCTCTGTTTTGTAGTACCTTACACTCTCAGGTACCGTACCTGAATAGAGCTGGTACATTTCTCAGGTGCTTCAAGTAAAAGCTCTCTAACTTGTTCTTTATCATGAAACAGCTGCGTAAGAGAATGTGAAATGCATTAGTTAAAAAATCTATAAGGAAACATTAACTGCGACTACCAGAAAGACACTACCAGGTAATTACAAGTTCAAACATGTGATATTGCAGATTATTTCTACATTGTCAGTTCAACCAAATTCACTAAATGGAACTAATTTTTAATATAGGTGACTTTGTTATATTCACTATATTAGCTGACTCCTGAGTAGAACCAATTGTAAAAAGAGGATTATGCTCTACAGTTGTATATAAATGTAGCGGCTAAGTTACTTACAAACCAAGTCCAGTCTTCTACAGAGCAGTGTATTTATTATGAATTTGTATGTGTCTTTCCTTTATATCCTTTATCTTGTAAAGCCTTATTTGATGGTATCTGTGACTTTTCTATGATACATGAAATAAACTTTTATTCAAGCAGATGTGTATTTTCGTTCTTTTTTTAGATACCATGGATTAACATGTATTAACAGTCATTGTTTTTTTTATTTCCATCTGGGACAGTCACAAATCAGAAGGCAACGGTAACCTGTGTCCACTTGGCATGGTCATGTCAGCAAGCCAGGGTGAGTGAGATCTGTGCCCCGGCACAGGCAGCACACCTCAGGCAGGGACCTGTGCCTGCTGCCAGAGCCTGAACGCAATTAAATGCCCCTGCTGAGCCAAGGGGCAGAGAGAAGCTTTCGGCAAGGCTGTCCACAGCTGTTTCTCATGCCACCTTTCCACAGCAGGCTGATCCTGGGTGCAGAGTCAGAGCTGGCTTGCGCACAGACAGACAAACCCCTATAAGATGGGAAGGGGTGGCAGTCAGTGGGTGCTCTCAGGGGTCTGAGAGCTGTAAGCAAAGCAACTGCTGTGTGCAGTGTTCAATGAAATGAGAATTTCTGTCCTTTACAATACCTGACATCTTTCATCAAGTTCTCCAGTCAGAAGCAAACTACAGAACACATAATTGGCTAGCGTTCACCCAGTAGAAGGTTTAAAAGTTTGTTTTAAAGAAGTTTCAGTAGACCTTCTCTCTGCTCTAAGTGATTTACAATATGGGTTTTCATTACTCAGACAGAACCTCTGACATGGTTCTTAGGATTAATGCTGGAGATAGAAGAAAAGGAAGCTGTGGCCATACTCTCGGCTTATTCAGAGTATGGCTTATAGGCCTAATCATCTTGCTTGCAGCTGTGTGAGAAAAACATCCATCGATCGGCAGGGTAACCCTGTGTGTCTTGCAGATTATGTTAAATCGTCTTTCAGAAGGAAAAGTTTGAAATGGTTTTCTCCTTGTACTGTTGTGCTTTTACCAGTAGATGGCCCACGAGATCCAGTATTTCCTGCAGTTTTGTAATCGAGTGTGGTGTTTTAAGTGACATGTTAAATAGGGTATTTACTGTATGGTGGTATTTACCTGTGTACCAGGGGATGTGGGGGAAGAAGAAGGGAGGAGACAGAGTAAGACTGGAATTTTACTGGCGTAACAGGCAGAGTGGCAGGATTGCAGGAGAGAAACAGTACGTGAGCATAGAATTAATTGAGCTGAGATTAAATCTTAATTCCAGTGAATATTTAAAACATTTGAGCATTAGTTGGAAGTAACTGGAATGACATCCCTACTTTCAGATGGTTGTTCCTCCCCTATAGCTACAGAATCTCTCTTGGATCCTTTTTCTGTACACAGGAAATTAGCTCATGCAAAAGAGAACAGCTTGGATGGGAAAAGCTGACAACCTGAGCTTAGAAAACCTTTGCCTGGTAGTTAGGAAAGACCAGTTTGAATTCCTTCAGGCAAGAAAGAAATTACAAGGAAGAACTATCCTGAGTAAGTGCTCTTAAGTACAGAGTTAAAGAGTAAGAGGAAGAGCCTAACCCGCAAGCTGCTTTGTGAGGAAAATCCCAACCAACCAACCACCCAAAACTTTTCACTTCGATGCTCACAAACTTATTTTTAGACTAACTTTCAACCTTTTTCATTTCATTGTCAGTGCCACCTTAGTCATTGCTGTGGATGCCACTCAACAAAAGGATATTGAAAGCTGGACTGCACTGCACTTTGGGACAGATTTCCATAGAAGTTAGCAGCCTGTTCCAGGCTTGGAACAGTGAGAAAAGTGCAGGGACAGTCTGAATAACCAGGAAGAACAATAAGGAATAGTTTCCTGGCTGTGTGATAGCCCTGTATTGCCCTTACGAGGCAGGAGTCCTGAGGCGGGAGAAATAGCTGTGTGTGTGATCAAGCAGCTGAAGACTGCATGCCAATGCATACTCAAGAATGTTTGGGTTTGAGGTGGGAGAGTGTACACAAGATTTCACAGTAATTAACTGCAATTTTTATTTTATTTTATCTTTTTTTTTTTCCTTATCTGGAGTTCACTTATATGTATCTGGTGGTGGTATTATCAGAAAAGCTATGGAAGTTGGCCAGTGTTCAAGTCCCATTAAGGTTTCTAAATGCCTGTTCAGATTATTTTGGTTTGAGTACTTACATGGAAGACAGATTGACAGATACTGTGAGGTGATGGATTACCTTCCCTTGTTAGCCTTGTGTCTTTCCCCAGGGCAGGCCTTTTTCCTAATCCAGTGCTTATTTATAGGGCAAATAGCGAGGAACATCCTGCCCAGGGCCACCTGTTGATCAGGATACTCTTCCAGCTTTCATCACTTCCTCATAATATTTATATCTGTTTCATTATGTAAGCAGTATGTTTTTAGAGCCAACTTTCTCTGCGAGTTCTTATATAAGCAAAAAATTTCCAAGACCCTTTCATCCAAAAAGTCCAGACTGTCTAAAATTAGCTGTCACTCTTTGAAAGAGCTCTTGAACAAGGCATTTGTTCCAAATTTAAGCAAAAAACTTTGAGTTCACTTCTTTGTGATTCTCAGAAATGTAGTGAACAAACATTCCTCAAAACCAAACTTTCTGAAATGAAAAGCAAAAAGCAAACAAAATAAAAGGCTGAAGGGAATAAATACTAGCAATTGTTGCTTATCATCATCAAAGCAATGGGGGTGAGTACTGTTAGCCTGGGACTATGTACCTCCCAAGCTTCCTTTGATGGTCTAGACCAGAAAGCCTAAAATGGCAATTTTCTAGCTTGGAGCACATTAGGAAATCAATTTCTCCCTGTGACCTTTCTGAGGCACCAATATAAACGGGTTGTAGTCACCTTCTTCAGCCCCAGAATTCAACTTCAGACTGGGAAGTTTAAATTTCACATACCTGTACCTCACTGGGATTTACTTAGCAGCTCTCACACTAGGCTAATTCCTTAGGGCCTGCTTTTTCAGAAGACAATGAGACTTATATTATTGTGATTACTTTCTTATTTTTGATTATTAGTTACTAATTGTTACTATTATTACATGATATTAATGACAATATTAGTATTGGTGTTGCAGAGGAGACACAAAGTACAATGAATATTTTACAGACAATCTCCGAGATTTTTCTGAAGAGTCCCTGGCAGAATGAAAGTACTTCAAAGACTTTGGCCTGACCCATTCTGACCTTGGATGGAGTTAGTCCTTGCAATCCTTCTAGACTTCCAGATTCCTCACTAGCATTTATACCATTGTACCACTGATGGAATTTGGAGTCATTTGCAGCCCCCCCAAAGCAGATCTAACCATGATGTCTTGTACTTCCAGAGGACAAGAGAGAAATCTCAAAAACCATATTACTTGTTTTGCTTTAATTTGAGGAATTTGTACTGATTATTTCTCACTAATATTTGCAAGAATCATCTCAGTCCACTTATTCAACCAAGAGTACCAGTAAACCTTTTGACTTTGGAGTTACACCCACAGCAGTTCTGTTTCTTCTTTATGCCACTAAACTGAAAACAACGTTTTCCTATTTCTAGAAACAGAAGCTGATTCGCCCTTCATCCCTAGGCTCTTGAGCTTTGCTTCAGGTTTGAACACATCCTTGTAGTTTTCCCACTTTGGTTCTTGCAGCCCATGCTACTTTGCAGCTCCTTAGAGAGCTTAGTTACTGTACCACAACTTCCAGCCAGCAAAATCACTATTTCTTCTAGCAACAGCTGCCATAGTCTTCC